CCAGTAGTTACTGGCTTACAAAAATTCATTTACAGTAACTACTGGGTTACAACATCAAAGCTTTGCATGACTCGGTACGGGTCAAAACCCCTATTTTTTTACACTGAACACATTGTACTTATCTCCACCGTATGCTGTTTTGTAGTATTTATGTTGTTTTGCTCTTGCTGTAGGATATCGACACACATGACCTAAGAGACGTCACAGATCAGCTAGCTGAGAAGAATTCTAAACTAAGAGAACTAGATAACCAATTGCATCGCTCTAACCAAGAGATCCAAAAGAAAGAAAGGTAAAATATATGGTTCTTGGTACCGCCAAGTTGTGACTTCATATTGCTTCAAGTGATTTTTTTTTTTTTTTTTTTTGCGTTTCAGTACTCCTATCCTGAATTTCGAAATATGATTTCTTCTAACTTCTAAATTCCAATTCCATCACGGAATAAGTAATGGAATACGTTTGTTAGCCACGGGCACCTAGTGCTACCCTCGCAAAACAAAAACAATTTATTTAATCACGCCTTTTTTTGCGAAAAGTTTAGCGTCAAATTTTTTTATGGAATAGTATGACGTATCGCTTTGTTTTAGACATGGAGTTAGTTCGCCTGGCAAAAATGAAGTACGCAAGAGCAAGGATGCAAAGAGTTTTCTTTTGGTGCTAATCGGTGATTTGGGAGGGGGTGGGGTGGGGTGGTGGGAAAACTATTACGTTTACCCAGAAAAAGAGGGAAATATTCTTTATTTATTTATTTTAAAGGATCAAAGCTAAGTTGAATCAAGAGATAGAAGAACTGACTGCAACACGGGATGGATTACAGAACAGCATCAACGAGATCAAATCAAGGTACCAGAAGATGCAACAGAACTACAGGCGACAAGAACAGGACTTCAATGAATTGCAGGTACGAGTCAGAATGAGAAATGGGAATCGAAAGAATTAAAATGAACGCGATGTTTTGAGCAGTTGAATCTTGAAAAAAACAAAAAAAAAACAAAAAAAAACAACAGGAATTTGGCAAAATGCCATTTGGTAACTGAAAATGAGAATAGAAAATGGAAATTGAAAGAATGGGATTGGTCATGGAAATGATTGCTCGAACTCATCATTTTTTTCTACTCCTTATTGCTGGTTCTCTCTTGTGTCTTGGGTGTCTTTTTTGTTTGTTTCCAATGAACTACTTGGAAGATGCGGCGGCCATCTTGAATCACAAGGCATTGTGGGTCATCCAGAGGGCAAAAGACAAACCTTTGTTACAATAACGGCGTCGATTGTCATTTACGGTCTATAACAAGATAACAAGACAATTTGACAAGAGATGAATGTTAAAAAATGGACAGTTCCACGAAATGAGGAAATTTCTTAAATATAGGTGGGTCGTCATTTCAGCATCTTTGTTTTGTTTTGCCCGCTGGGCGACCCATAATGCCTTGCGATTCAAGATGGCTGCTACATATTATATCGAGCATGGGACACGGTTTTATCAGATACTGAAGTATGAAGGATTACCTCCGTAAACCAAAGACCATATATTTATTTGACAACATTTCTGATTTCATGCTTTTTTTTTTGTTCACCATAGAAGAAACAAGAAGGCCTTCAGGCAAAACTAGAACAGATGAATACTAATGGTGATCTAGATGATACACTGGTCGGTGATGATGATAATGATATTGATAAACACAGACACGTGGCTAAAGGAAAACACTCCAAGGGTAGTAAGACATCTTATCCCAATGGACGAATATCTAGGGAAGAGGCGTTACAGCTGGAAGATCTTGAACCCAATGGAGTATCAGCTTCCAAGGTACTTACTCGCGCGTATGGTACTTGGGTATAGACCCCTGGCATGTGACGTTAAAGCAGCTCAATTTGGAGGACAAAACAAAAGAATTTCAATCTCCTGAGAATTGGAAACCTATCGTTATGTCCTCCAAATCGAGCTGCGTTTCGACGTGCTGCAAACTCATTGTTATTCCATCTTTAAAGAGATTTAGCTAAGCAATGAAGATTACTCCACAGAGGTTGACCCCCTTAAAAAGATATGAAATATCCACAAATAACTTCCTCACCAGGGCAACAGTTTTGATTGATTTTTTTGCATGACTTTTTTATGCCACCTAATTGGATTTCAATTCTGTCATTCAAGATGGTGGACAATGATCACGTGATCCTCTTACATTAATACTTTTTATTTATTGAATATCTCAAAAACAGAAAGACGGTCGACATGCTGCAGCGCACAGCAAGGGCAAATCTCAAAGAAGAGGTGAGAATGACTTTTCGAGTACTGATGCCAACCCAACTTATTAGAGAGCTTAAGATTCTCGTTTACGGCAAACGTGAAACGTCAGTTGACCAGTAAAAAATTCTTTAAAATTAGTGAAAAGGAATCGCAAAAATCTCCAAGTGGTAGATGAACAAAAGAATACTTGTCTTTGTCGAGAAGGTTTGCAAAAGGTAAAGCTAAATGTAGGAAAACGGTGAAAATGTGGTGACGTTTGTCGTTTGCGGGAAGGAAAAACGGGAATCTAAATCTACCTATTATATATAGACATACTGCAATCTTGTTGACCAGGTCTCAGTGAAAAAACCTTGTTGATCCCTTGTTGTTGACCCACGAATCAAAACCAAACCCTTTCAACCTCGATTAACAAGTTTCGTTGATTTGTTACGACAGCTCCTTCATCAATCACCTCCAATACAGAATCAGAGATGTCTGACTCACCCGGAGAGATCTCCCCTCAAGCTCAGTCAAGAAATTCTGCCTTTCACCAGCATGCAATGTGGCAGTCTAAAGCACCTAAAGCCCATGGAACGAAACCTCGGGATATAGGTAAATAGTAACGAGAAGACTTGTAGAAACGAACAGTACAGTCAGGTGATGAAAGTCTTTGAATCATTCAAAGTTTTGTGTAGCATTGGTTGAAGGTTCGATGTCATTGACGGATATTTATTCATTCACAGATATATCATCAGATGAAAGTAGTCAAGATGAATATCAACAGAACTTATTGTTGCTCCAAAAACAGGCGGAATTTAGAAATGCGTAAGTAAAGACTGACGTCATTACCAAAGACTGAAAGCTAGCTGCGCACGTGCCGTGACCGTGAGCGTACCGAGTGATTCCAGCATTTTCATTGGCTGATCAATAACCTCGGTTGCTGTAATTGGTTCATAAGGATGTTCCTTGTGCAGCAGAACAACCTTGATAAAAAACTATAGCCATGAAAATTCAATGGGATCCGAGGTCTTTTTTGCCTCTTGTACGCCGACGTTCTTAGGGTCGTCACGCAACGTTTCTCTAAGCGTTGCGTGACGACGTGACGACCCTAAGAATGTCTGGTTAGCTGGATATGGTTTTATTCTCGATTGAAATTGTATATTACTAGGCTTTTCATACATATAGTGTGAAATCAGTATTTTTTGACGGTTTGTCTTGTGTACACGCAGGGAGCTGAAGAAACGTCTTGTTGTTGAATGTGATGCTATCAATAAGGCGAAAAGGTTCTTGAGTCGACACAAGAAGTCAGTGCGGAAACGACAGGTAAGCAATCGTACGAGCACTGAAAGAAATCATGATCTCATAACAACATTTTGACTAACTGTTGACGTCATATCGTGATAATAGACCTCTTCGACTTGGAGTAATGTTTTCCCATTTCAGACCACGCGTCATTCCCTTGAGAATGAGATTCTTTGTTTGAGTCGTATCCATATTCATGTGTCTTCTCATGTGCAACCGAGCGCAAATCTTAAACAAAGAAATGATACTCTAGGGCATGTGGTCTGAAATGGAAAAACGTTACGTCAGAGCCGAAGAAGTCTATTGTAAAGACATACCACAAAAAACCATCGGAAATTTGTTAATTCTAGTCTGCATTCCCTTTTTCATTCATGTGGATCCCCCTCCTTTATTACAATGTGTATTGTGTATTATCCCTTAAAGCCCTAAGCCATTTGATGGTGTTAACGAAATTGTTTTTCGTATGTTACCTACAGGCTGCTCTTGAACAAGCACGCAGTGAGTGGAAACATGATGTGACTACTAATATTAACAGGGGAAAGGTAACATTCCTATTCTATATAGGAACTATCATGTCCTATAATAAGTTGCTATCCTATATATAACATGCTCATTGGTCTTATCTTTATCATTCTTCAGCCAGTCTCGTCTAGGAATGCGACACTCCTTGAAGACGTCAAGTCCAAGCTGGAAGAAGTAAGTTCAACCTCCAACTATAGGGAGTAGAAGGGGCTCGTATACACTCTCTGTACGTTTTTGAGAGGAGAGATTAGGGTACGGGTAAACAAGGTTAACCATGAGTGTGTTGGGATATGGGTGGGGTGAGGTGGGAAGGGAGGTTAACCATGGGTGTGTTGGGGTATGGGTGGGGCGGGTTGGGAAAGGAGGTTAACAATGAGTGTGTTGGGATATGGGTGGAGTGAGGTGGGAAGGGAGGTTAACCATGGGAGTGTTGGGGGTATGGGTGGGGTGGGACAGTGAACCCATCCCCAAGCATGATTGCCTGCCATAACCTGCCCTAAATGCCTTCTCACGTCGTTGAAAGTATCAGCGTTCAAGACATTCGATGATGATTTTTTTCTGGTTATATTTCACAGGAAGAAGCAGAATTGACGATAGTCGTAGACAACATGAATGCGGGACAAGAACTATTGAGACAAAAGGAGGAACGCCTGAAGATCCTCGAGAACGCGCTGTTAGGAGGAATGGTACGAGCCTAGGTGCCATTATATGGCTACCTGTGTTACTATCAAAATAGCAGTACCTCTGATAAAAATCTTTTGAGTTTAAAAGATTGGGATACCTGTGTCTTTTTAAGATTTGTACGTAAGGTATTTGGGATTGGGATTCTATGTCTATCGCCATTACGCCCCGCCATAGTTCATGTCATTTATAAATATTGATTCATATTTATTATTATTTATGAATATTTATTCATCAGTCTACGACAACATCAGACTCAGAAGATGTACCGATGGATCCTCTGTTCCGTAAGACTGCTCACTTTCCCAAGGACAAGTACCGTCCACATCGTAGTACCCGCCGACAGATCGAAGATGATGACTCGAGTGGGTTTAGTAGCAGTGACTATGGTGATGGGCCTCCTGTGGTGCGTGACGTCAGGGGATCACGTGGGACAAAGAGCCTTCGGTTTTCGAATCCTTCCAAGACTCAAAACATAGATGATGTCCAGGCCTCTCTCTCTACTATCAATACAGATTTAGCACGTATTCTATCGCTCCTACAAACACAGACATTACAGCGCCCTGCTATTCCTACTCAACCTGTTTACGCTGTACCAGAACAACATGCTTTTGCACAGACTGCAAGACCCATGAACAGCGGTTACGCACCCTCTATAGACCATGCGCAGACAAGGTAAGACTCGGCGAAAAACCAGCTCTTAGAATTCGTATATGAGAGGCACTGAACTGAACGCCTTGATTCAACACCGCCTGGAAATGTCTAGTTAAAATGAGGATCGAATCTTTCCTTGTTTTCCTTTCTAGTCGACCAGATATCGCCCCTAGAAACAGTTACCACCAGCCAATATACAAAAGTCAAGACACTGCTGAAGTGGCGTTGGAAAGAAAGTGGAAGTCTTACTTTGGAGGTAAGGTCTGATCTTGGTAGATGCGCACGCAATTTTAACTGAAAGCCCTGTTGCGCTATCTTGTGCGCGCGTCTGCGCAAAACTTTCTCTGTGCTAAAGCATGTATTCCTCTGTATTTAGATCATAATCGTGATTCCCCTGCAAGTCTTAGTTTAGGAGCAACTCTTAAAGGACATATAACAGCAAGGTAAGACATTACTATTTTTTATTGCCTTGTAGCGTCTGTTATGTTAAACGTAAGTGCAATTCAAATCGTCCACGTGATGCTAATCTTGTACCACGTGGACACGGTTTTTACACCACGTGATCAAAACTTAACTGCACTTCTGTCGCGTGGTGTAAAAAACTTATCATAACATTTTTTACAAGGGACAGCAATGGACCGGGTGTTGTCAAGGAGAAACTGACTGACTGGACGTCAGAAGGACAACTAAATGTGGCCGAGAGACTACAGAACCATGCTGATTGGTTGAGAAATTTTCGACGTGAAATGGGACTGCAAAGCCCGAGCCAAAGTAATCGAGGAAACATGGCAAGCAGTGCTAGATAGTATCCTTTGTTTATGTTTGGGGGGGGGGGGGGATTTGATGCTGATGATTGTGATTACTGATGATGATGATGATAATGATTGTGATGATGATGATGATGATAATGATAAGAATGATGA